AGTCGAGCCTTATATATATATATATCTATCTATCTTTAGACAATTAATTCAATTCCCACATTCATCGGTCTATTTTTTGTCCAACTCATATTTATATATTCATTTTTCAAATTTGAATTACAAGCCATGCTCTTTTTTCAAATTTTTAATATGGTACAATTTTAATGCTAATTATCTAGATATTTTAAATTTCTATATCACTCAATATACTCTTTTCATTTTTCTTAATAGGTATAACATTTTAATTAATTTAATTGGACATATTTCTCGACTCGATTGGAATTAAATATTGGATATGTTTCTCTTCTCTTTCTATTTTATCAATTAGTAAAAATATATCAAATTTTAGAATGAGTTCAAATTATGGTAACCACCTACTTAAGATTTAATATTCTACAAGTTACCTTGACAACTCTAATTTTGTGAGATTAGTAAAGGTGCGTGCAAACTGGTTCAGACACTTATATCAAAAGAAAAAAACATCTAACTTACTTGAAAGTGATGGTTAATTTATGTGTTTAAAAAGTAAAATAATTTTTGTAAAATACCTTAGTATTATATTGGTAGGTATTGTGTGTGTTAAGTATAACTTTTTGGTAGTTATTAGTATTCTGTACTCTTTGTCTAACAAATAAAGTGCGCCACCAGCTGACCCATGTGCGGACATATATTATTACACAAATATAAAGTACTCTCATATTAAATTCATTAAAGTAAACATTAATATAATATACATATAATTATTAATTATTCTATATATATATATATAATTTTGTACCCTCTATCTTAAATAAATTTCCATGAGAGGAAATAGAAAGCTAGCTAGATTAGCTTAACCAAACCAAGTTTTTTAATATAATAAGTGGAATGGAAGATTGGAACTCTTAATCTCAATAGGAGAGAGAAGTGTGTCAATTATTACTGAACTAAGCTCATGTTGGCGATTAACCAAGCCAGTTACTCCAAATTAAATATATCGAGGTAATAGATTATATTAGACCTTTCCAATTCTAGTGAGCAAAATAATTCAAGAGGGGCGTGGTACCTTTCATTATTAATAGAACAAATATGGAGTTGTGAGATTTAAACAAATTTTAAATGTTTTAGTCTATTAACAGAATTTTGTTTTTAGCTCAACAAATATATGGAG